CTTCACTGGACACAGGTGGTTTTGCTCCCTACAGAGTCTGCTGTCTTCTCACTGCTAATCCATGACTGTCTTCTCACTGCTAATCCATTACTAACCCATTACTGCCCTTCTCTCTCCACGTATTTTTCTGGAAGAAGCCGAAATCACTACAGCAATTTTTTTTTTCAACCTTTTCACGCCGTTTCCAACCTGCTCCACCACCCCAGGACGCGTTGACTTCTTTTTCCTCCAGCCAACCCAGCTCCTTGGCGCTGCCGCCAACAAACTGGCAGAGCCCACCAGAGCCCCTAAACACGGGGCAGGTGCAGGCCCTATAGCCCTAAAAAAACAGCACCACAAAGCACATTCGTTATCGCGTCGGTAATTGCCTGCTCGTTAAAACCGACACAAACAAACCTGCGCCCGTTGAAGGTCACGGGCACACCTGTTACCACGGTGAGGAGGGGGAATTTTTGACCTTCAGATGCCTTTGTTGCCCGTCCTGCCAGCACCACATGCCTGGGGTGGCGCGTGTGCCAAGGCACTGCCTTGCTCCGGGGCTGTTTGCCGGAGCTCCCTCTGCCCAGGGCCGGTGATTGATTTCCCTCTCCCGTGGCACAGTGCCCAGGTATGTCTGTCTCCCCCAAGGCCTTTGTTACGAGGGTGTTAACAATTAACCTGCTCAGGCAGAAACAGAGCCAGGCCCCCATAATTTAGTCTTAGTTAACCATTCAGCTGCTTATCTGAAAGTGATTTTTAATTCTGTTTAACTGGAAGGCAATCGCTAACTCATTTGGATAAAGCAAGTGTGAAGACACAGTTGTTATTTTACAAATAATTGTATTTACAATAGGAGTGCCCTGGAGCTGCAGGGATGGTGAGAAGTCTGGGTAAGAGGTGGCCATGAAGAGTTTAACCACCACAGCTGGTGGAAAAGGACATTTCACCTCAGATTTCATCCATCAGGCATTAAAATATTGCTGTCTCCAAGGCAAGGCTGCTGCAGGAAAGGCCAAGGGGCCACTGCAGCTGGATGGGACAGGGAGCTGGTGCAACATGGAGCGTGTGAAATCCCAGTGTCCCTGGTCAGAGAAGGCTGTCTGCACCTTGGTAAGGTGCTGGCATGGAGATGCCTACCAGGAAGGGAGTCTTGAATCAATCCAGGCGGACAAAGAAACTCTTTTGAGCTTTTATTAACACAGAAATGCTGGGAAATGTGAACTCGGCTCAGTGTTTGTTCTGGAGGGGTTTGCCCCTCCTTTGTGTCTGCAGAAAGTCCCTTCACTCGGGTTCCTGCTGTAACCATGGGGGTTTGAGGAGCTGGAGTGAGGGCAGAGCTCAGCAAGGGCCCTGTGGCTCAGTGCCCTGTGGGATGGACAGATAGACAGATAGGTGTCGCTTGGGATTGATTTGGACAGACCTAGCCCTCCCTGGGAGGTGAGTTGGACATAACATCTTCCTGAGAGCCTGGTGAGGATGAAGACTGAGATGTTCCTGGTGCCTCCTCCCCACTGTAGATGGGATGTAACATCTGGAAAGAGAGAACATCTGGAAAGGGCAGTGGCTGGCAGGTGGCTTAATACTCCTGTTTTAGTTTCCTCCCTGTCTGGAGCCTCTCCACCCTCCACAGGCCAAGGGGAGCCACTTTCATCCCTTTACCATGGCTTGGGAGTCTCTTCCAAGCCCAGCCATGCTAAGAATGACTCCTCTTTCCTTCCAGAGGACAGACTTGGGAATGAAACACTGCTAAAGCAGAGCGATTTGGCTTCTCTCAGCCTTCCTGTGCTCATGGACTGCCAGTTCCTCTCATGGAGAATCACCCAGCTTTAGTTCACGTTCCCATGGGAGGGAGGTAGATATCATGGAGTCATAGAACCACAGAATGGTTTGGGTTGGAAGGGACATTAAAGATCATCTCCATGGGTAGGGACACCTTCCACTAGCCCAGGTTGCTCCAAGCCCCTTCCAACCTGGCCTTGGACACTTCCAGGGATCCAGGGGCAGCCACAGCTTCTCTGGGCAACCTGTGCCAGGGCCTCACCCACCTCACAGCCAAGGATTTCTTCCTCTTATCTAATCTAACCCTGCCCCTTGCAAGTTTAAAACCATTTCCCCTCATCCTATCACTACAGAGATTAAGAGATTTAAGGAGAAGAAATGTGCTGGAGAAGTTTTGAATCACGCACTCCTCCAAACCTGGAAGGAGAATAAAATGACCCTCCTGCTCTGCACCAGAGCGTGGCAGAGCTATTCCTGTGCTCAAAACTTGTTTTCAGTTCAGTTTCCTCAGTTCAGCTGAGGAACAACCAGTGCAAAACCTGACTGGGAACAGGAGCTTGCCAGAAGATACAAACCCAAGAGTTGTTGTTCTCAAAAAAATGGCCCTTTTTGGCAAACAAAGCTGTACTGTCGGGGATCTGTTGGCACTTCTGGCACCTCCTTAATAACACATTTGTAAGGCTTGTCCTTGCACTCTGTTTATCAGGCCCTGGGTTTGCAGTAAACATAAGCTAATAACAAGTTTTTTTCAGAATGTTTGCTTGGATGACTCCCAGTTAAAAGAAACCGCTTGTTGTTGCGTTGCCCTTTTTTTTTTTTTTCCCCTTTTTAAGGATCAGACTTTCCAGTGACCTCATCCTGCCCTCAGAGAGTCAATGTAAACATGCAAATGTCACTGTGAAATTTACCCAGTGAGGGAAAGGTAACCTGGATTTCTCCTCTGCTGGCTGGGGAGCTCTGCATGGAGACAATGCAGCCTCTGCCTTTCCCTCGTCTGGAGCTGAGGCCTTCCAGCACATCCCTCCCATGGTGGCTGGTGTCCCACAAAGAGAAGTCACTGAAAAGTGACTGAAAAAAGTCACTGAAAAGCAGGTTACTCCTAAATTAGCAGAACAAAAAGTCTTCCCTTGACTAACAAAATCCAAAGGCGCCGTGGGTTGAGTGTGGCTTCGGGTGGGTGTTGCCCACACCTCCTCATCACTCCACAGCCCAAACAAGTCTCCAGGTGCCCAGGAGGCAGCTGGATTAGCTCCTGGGTGTTGTGTAACTCATGAACTGTCTGTGATGCTCTTTGGGAAGTGCCTTTAGGATGTGACCACGTCCACAGCCACAGGAGCTCTGCCAGCTCGCTGTAGGTATCAGCTCTGTGCCCTCTCCCTCTGGCACAGCTGTTTGCCACATCTGCCCACCAGCCACGTGACACTCGAGCTGTGTTTTGGGCAGGACAAGGTGCTGGAAAGAGGGAGGAGAAGCCTCCAGAAACTGCAGTTTATTAAAAGCAAAGTTGAGCAGCACAGCCCCTGCTTTAACCTTTTAAATGCTCCTCCATTCCGTTATTAGCGCAAATAGCAAGACCCCCTGAGACACTGCATGAGAGCTGAGCTCCAGACCTGAGCTTGCCCTCCAGGGAAATAAACCTAGCTCTCCTGCTTTTCTCAGGGAGGGCTCAATGAACATCCCTACCCCAAGAAGAGGGAAAACTCCACTGACATGGGGATTTTCTCCATCTCCTCTTCCTGCTGGCCCTGTCGGAGCTCCTCCATCCCTGAACCTCTCTGCAAGGGGCATCACTTTTTTTATTATCCCATCCAGGGGGAAACCTTCACCTTCTACTGCTCTTATTTCCTTAAATAAGATTTTTCACCTTTATGTAAAAGCTGATGAAGAGCATCCAGACATGTGAGAATTGGTCCCAAGGACAATTGGTCCCAGCTCCTCTGACCTGGTCAAAGATAACTTTCAAAACCATTATTTGCACATTATCCACTTCCCATGGCCTAGTTTTGGCCAGTCCAAGGCACAGCCTAAGTAAGAATAAGATGGAGAAGGGGAACAAGTGTTTAAAAGAAAACTCAGGATGACACCTGGACAAAAGCACCTTTCTAAAAGCTCAAGCCCATGGGAGCAACACACCCAAAGGAAGAGATGGAAAGTGTGTTGTTTAAGCCTTGTTGAGTCATCCCTAAGAGATGGGCTGGAGAGAGGAATTGGATAAGCTACTGATGGACCAGGGATGGAGAAATCATATTCCCATGGTAACTCAAACTTGTTAAAACCTGGGAAAAGTGACAGAAATAATCCAACCTTGGGAACTGCAAACGGTCGCGTCCGACCGATGTCGTAGAGCTGTGCCAAACAAAACCCACACAGACTCCCTCCCCCGAGGAGCACCCAACCTTTGGGGTCAGAGGCTTTAAGAGAAGCTCTTTTGGAGGGCAGTGAGTGGGATTGGGGGATCAGTGCTTCTCCAAGGGAGTGTCGTGGGTGGGAGTGGAAGGCTTAGGCAGAATTTATTTTAAAAGCCCTGCCATTGAAGTCACAAGGTGCAGAAAGGGCTCCCTGGCTTTCTAAACTCCTGCTCAGAGAGGAGTCTGGGTGCAGCTGAATCCAATCTCAGCCTTGGATTATGTCAACGGTTTAAATTTAAGGAATTACAGAATGTGTGACTGAACCACTTTTGTCCTGCAGGTTTTAATGATTGGCAAAACGAGAATATTTATATAAAACGAATCATTTACTTTATACAAATGATCAGACAAAACATCTTAATCAGAATTATTTACTGCACCATACAAACACTAACACTACTAGTAGTGTAGTATAAGACAGGACGGTGCACTACATTGAAGCAATTATTGAAGCAATTATATTAAAGCTGGCAAAAAGAAATAGTTATTAAGTAGAGATTTGATGTAACTCCCCCAGACCAACGCTCGTGGGGAGATCTCTCAACCTTGAGGAGTCACCTTGAGGGGTGTCCCCAGCCAAGGGAGGAATCTCCACACATACACCCCAAGAAGGGTTAAGTTAGAAGAACCTGACTGTATGAAAGGGGACTGCACTTTTAGGGTATAAAGTGATTGAGCGCCAGTCACAAATTTCCAGGCCAGCTCCCAGCTTATTTGTCACATCAGACTTCAAAAAGCAGGATGTGTGTTTGGAGTTTGGTGAACCAGGCTGGTTTTAGCAGAATTCGACGCCAAGAACATTACCATGGTGCCACTGATAGCACATCACAGAGAGCTGACACGAGAGCTGGCACTGTTTGCATTCTCTGGTTGGATTTTAGGCCTTGCTGGGGTAGGCCCTCCTGCCACAGGGGGTCTGAATTCCCAGAGAGGAGGACAACCCCACCATCTGCTCCGTACTGGACACCGGGACACGATTTCGATCTGCAAAAGGGGGTGGTGGGCAAAAGGCACCTCTTTAACAGCACTTTTCCTCTCCCTCCTGCTCCCAGTGCCACTGACCCGTGCCTCCAGCTCACCTCGACGCTGCCATGGCCACGCTAGAGACACTGCCCGTCCTGAGTGACCCCGCCCGCGCCAGCCCGCAGAACTTCCACGCACTCGCCGCCCGGCCATCCCGAACCGCCGCCCCCAGGAGCGCCATGGGGAGCGTGGCCCGGCGTGTCGCCCAACGACCAGGAGTATGCACATGAAGGAAGCGTGGGCACGCCGGGACCCCGGGGCAAGTCGGCAACGCCGCCAGGCTCTCCGAGGGCTTCACCGCAAAACAACGGCTACTCCGCGCGGGAGATCTCCAACCGCTACTCCGGCGAGGAGAAGACCTACAAGTCGGAGAAGGTCTCCAACTCCCTCTACATCAACGGCGACCTGCGCAAGAGCGAGAAGGTGAAGATGGACATCTGTGGGAACGTGACCTCCAACAACGAGAAGAACCTGCCGCCTCCTCCCCAGTACCGAGAGCCCGGTAACCCACCAAAGATATTGCCAATCTCCGGCAAACTCGACCAGGTGAGACCCTCCGCCTCCTGGAGCAGCTCGGTGGCCACGGCACGGCCCTGAAAACACACGCCAGGAAGCCCCGGGCAAAAAAGCAATCCTGGCAGATAGTCCAGTTCTCACTCTGTACGTTTTATGTGCAGACAGTATCGTTCTTATCACTTTCAGGGCCAACGTTAGTTCTTGAGGAACCCAAGAGCACGATCTCAGTGAAGTTTTCAGCTCATTTAAACCTGTCTTTAAGCCACTGGTTCTTCCAACCTCCCTGAGATGATGTGCCTACCTCTCTGATGGATGGGGAGGGAGCTGGAATCAGCTCTTGTTTCAGTACGTCCAACATCTGAGTCCCACTCTTATGTTTGTACCATTTATAGGCAATCCTCAACCACCCACTGCCACCTAAAGCTGTGGCTTGAAAGCACCCCCGAGCCCCTGTTCAAAATCCCTTGTGAGGGACAAGTGACAAGGCTTGAAACTATCCCTGTAAACATTATGGCCCAGTCCAGCCCAGTCCTTGTGGCTCATTTTTGGCTTCAGGGAGCAAAATCTGCCAGGTCTGGAGGAGCAGAGCCCCAGAGCCAGCAGTGTTTTATGTGCCCTGCTGCTCTGCTCCAGTGACTTCCATAATTTGTGTCCAGTATTATTTCTGCAATGTTTGGTGGCCTTTTCTTCTGGGTTGTTAATCCACTGGTCCCTGTAGTCCATCTCAGTCTCACAGGCATCAGGTTTTTGGTCTCCAACCTGCTCCCAGGGCTCCTTCTGTTTCTCCCAGAAGGCACTTCCAAAACATCTTTGATTCCTCTGCTGTCATTTTCACCTAAAAACCAACATGCAGCAGGGGAGACTCAATTCCATTTTGAGGAAATTTTGTTTCTGTAGGCACATTGACAGGGTGGGGAACGTTCAAGGCTTTAAAATCCTTTCTAAATCCCCGTGGTCCATTTTCCCCCCTGCATTGCTTATGCCCACAGAAAACACAAATATTCCAGTGAAGAGCAGCTTCAGCATGTTCCTTGCCTGGAGTCACTGCTGGGGTCACAGCTCCTACCTGCTCCCATCAGAGCATGAGCAGGACACAAGGTCCCCACAGGAAGAGATCACTCCCAGCAGGAGGGAAACATGATGCTCTTGGGGCAAAATAGCTGCCAATCCAAGGGTTCAATTCAGTTTTCAGCAACAGGACGATGCACCCTCAAGGCTGAGAGTCCTTCCAAATACGATCAGCCAAAATCAGAGTTGTTTTGATCAGGTTTGGTAGGCAAGTGGCAGCCCAAGGAGCATTCTAGGGGGTAAATCACACAGATTTGGGGGTGAGTCAAGATTACTTCTTTTTATTTGGGGCAAGGGAAGACACAGTGTTGTCCTACCGGTGACCACAGGTCCCTCATGTCCTACCGGTGACCACAGGTCCCTCATGTCCTACCAGTGACTACAGGTCCCTCCTGTACAACCCCAAATGGCCCAAAAGGTGTAACATGGAGCCGGCCCAAGCTGACTTGACCCCACCAGCCCCGCCCTGTGCCGATGTGTCTCTTTTTGTTGTGTCGTTACCGAGCCTCCTGCCGTGTTTGACGCGTGGTCCTTTTTCCTTTTTGCAGAGCAATGAGCCCTTAGTTAGACCCTCAGCCTTTAAGCCAGTAGTTCCTAAAAACTTCCATTCCATGCAGAACCTCTGCCCGCCGCAGAGCAACGGGATGACGGAGAACAGGAAGAGCTTGAACCACGCCAACAGCAATAGCCCGTCCGCACCCAAAGCTGGGCTCGACAAGGGCAGCCTTAACAGGACTACAAACCAAGGGGGGGGGCTCTCGGATTCGGGGCGTAACTCCCTGACGAGCCTGCCCACCTACGGGACGGGCTACAGCCAGCACGTGGGGCCCATGAGCGCCTCCACCAGCCACATCAACCGCATCGGCACCACCTACGTGGAGAAGAACATCGTGGGATACAACGGGATATCTACCTCAGACAGCGGGCGGTCCTCCAGCAAGAGCACCTCCTCCTTCAGCAGGCTGAACCATCTCAACGAGACCATGCCTTTCCACTCGCCTTCCACGGACGACATCATCCAGGACCTGGAGGACCGGCTGTGGGAGAAGGAGCAGGAGGTCCTCCAGATGCGGAGGAACCTGGACAAGAGCGAGGCGGCGATCTTCCAGGTCTTCGAGGAGAAGCAGAAGATCTGGGAGAGGGAGATGGAGGACCTGAGGCAGAACTACGCCAACAAGCTGCAGCAGGTCTCCAAAAAGGCGCAGCGGGCTCAGCAGGCTTTGCAGCTCCAAATTTTCAAGCTCCAGCAGGAGAAAAAAAAACTCCAGGACGACATGGGGCAACTCCTCCAGCAGCGAGAGGAGCTGGAGAAGAAATTTGTGGCTTTCAAGAAGGAGCAGGCTGAGTTTCTCCCAAAGATTGAAGAGACCAAGTGGGAGGTAAGAGCCTTGTTTTAACAGGTTTTCATCAAGGGTTCTGGCAGCCCAAAGTACCTCCCATGTGCCCTAAGGGGACCCCACAGATAATGGCTATGGGTTGGTGGCCTCTTGTGGACACTTGTCACCTCATTTGTCTGAGTCCCAAACCTGTTGTTTTCCATTGAACTAAAATAAGCATAACTTTCTGTGCACACCTCCTGTGCTGGTTAATAATTTGACTTCGCAGTCTGGTCACTCCAACTTGTGACATTTAAATCCAGTCTCAGGGAATACAACTCATTCCATACAGGTATTTGTGCCTACCAAAAACAGGTTTAAGTCTGTTTTAATTAAATTCTTGTAAGGTCTGCGTTTGGGCAAACCTTGAAACTGCTTTTCAAATATTTGAATTTATTTTTTTTTTGCTGAAGATAAAAAGCAACTCAGCTAAAAATTATATCAATGGCCAAGTCTACCTCATGCTTTCCATTGCAACACACTGTTTTCAGTTCTTAATAAGTTTATCTCTCTTAAAAAGCTGAAAGGCAAATTCCTCTTTCTAGTTCTCCTGTTGAGTTCTACATAATTTTTTCCTACTGTTTCTATTTTTAGAACATTTTATCAAAGTCTGTTTGTATAGCCAGTGCTCACATACCTTTTTTTTTTCCAGCTTGATCATGTGAAGAATTTTAATCCTTCCATGGACTGGCTAGAAACTTTAAATTTATTAAGAGTGCAGAGGCAAAACGTAGCTCTAGAATCAAGAAGACCCTATTCTGCTAATCCTGATGGGAAGTCAAGGAAGCTGGGATTAACTAGGCTCTGAAATGTGCTTTTGCAGATGTTCAGCAGAGCTTATTAGAGGCTTTTTGTAAAATCCCTGCAAGTTACATCCCAGAATGAGGAGGCTGCATTGTCCCTCCTTTGGCCACCTGCTCTGTTAAGGGACCTGGAAGACCACCTCGTTCCACCCCCCTGCCATGGGCAGGGACACCTCCCACTAGAACAGGGTGCTCCAAGCCCTGTCCTTGAAGCCTTGAACGCTTCCAGGGTTCTTTAGGAGTCTTTGGGAAGGAAGGCACCATAGGATGAGTAAGTAACATCATCCTGTCCTACTGTCCCAGTGCTCAGGGAGAGTCCGGGTGGTCCCTGGGTCTGAGGTGTTTCTGTCTCAGGCTTGTTCAAGGTCCAGATGCCACTGAGGTCAGTGGGAAAACTCCTGCTGAGAGCAGAGGGTTTGGGGTCGAGCACCACAGGGCTGTGGTTGGGTGAGTAAGACAAATGCAAGGAGGGAAGCATCACTGTCTCACAGCACTTGGCTCAGCTGTTTGGACAACTCCAGCTGGGAACAGCATCGGGTCCCTGAAAAGTCCCAAGTTTCTGCAGGAAAAACCACAAAATCTCCCCCACAGGTGTGGCGATGACCTTTAGGTCTTTGGCGTAGTCTGGGGCCTGGTGAAGGCTGGAACTCAGTCCTTGAGCAGGGCTGTTTCATGGGCAGCACGAGGGACAAGCAGGGGTGGTGGCTCCTTGCTGTTGTCCCCCAACCTCACGGATGCTCTTCCCACAGGTGTGCCAGAAGGCAGGCGAGATCTCCCTGCTCAAGCAGCAGCTGAAGGACTCCCAGGCAGACGTCTCCCAGAAGCTGAACGAGATCGTGGGGCTGCGCTCGCAGCTCAAGGAAGGCAAGAACTTCCTGCGGGAGAAGGAGGAGCAGATCCTCACCCTGAAGGACTCCTACAGCTCCAAGAGCGTCAACCTGGAGATCTGCGAGGGCGAACTGCAGCGCAAGATGAGCGAGGTGCAGGTGCTGAGGGAAAAACTGAACCACTGTGAGCTGGAGGTCTCCGGCCTGAAGCGGACACTTGCCAGCATGGGACCCCCGGGGCCCTTCGGGGGCGACCTGGGCGAGAAGCTGCGGGACCCGCTGGCCTGCGAGAGCGACGAGGCCAAGATGCAGCGGCAGAGCGAGGACAGCGTGAACTCCCTGCGGAAGGAGGTGGAGAGGCTCCAGACCGAGCTGAAGCTGGAGCGGCAGCAGCGGGAGCAGCAGGTGATGGACTTCGAGGAGGAGCGGCGCACGTGGCAGGAGGAGAAGGAGAAGGTCATCAAGTACCAGAAGCAGCTGCAGCTGAACTACGTGGAGATGTACCAGAAGAACCAGCTCCTGGAGCACAAGGTGAACGAGATGAACACCAAGGCCACCAGCCCCCCGCACACCGAGGAGAAAAAGACGTGGACTCCCTCCAGGCTCGAGCGAATTGAGTCCACCGAGATCTGAGGAGGGGCCACCACCACGACACAACGAGATTTTTTTATTGCTGTGCATGTACTACCTACTCAAGCCAGTGATCTTCCGAAGGATAACGCGCTACCGCCGGAGCGGGGGGAGCCTGCTCTGCTCCCAGCCGAGCTCCACCACCCTTACTCTCCACTTCTGTGCTCTGTAGGTAAAATAACTGTGGATGTGCGTTGGTTTTCTATCGATGATGCGACATCTCTTTCGGGTTTTTTTTTCCTAGTACAGCTGGTGAGGGTCAAAATTGGCTCTTTCGTTAATCTGCCGTGACTGTTACTCCGCTGGAGGCTGCCACCCCCTCTCCTACAGTTCACCCCTCCTCAGTTGGTTGTTTTGGAAGGTTAATATTCGGTTTCTTTGGTTTTCCCGAGCATTTTCGTGCAGCGAAACAGCTCAAAGTGGCAGGTTTGTTGGTTTGGTTGGTTGGTTTGTTTTTTTTCCCAGATGTTTTTAGCCACATTGGCTAACGGAGCAAAGCTCTCGGGATGATGAGCAAACTCACTGTTCTGCATCAAGTATCCTGTTCCAGACGATGGTCTTAGTGAAGTCAGTGCAAGGTTGGCCACTGATTTCAGTGAAACCAGACATATCTCTGCCAGACGACTCCCTCTTGCCAGCCCATGGTTGCAAGAGGTTAGGACATCCTTGAGGAGCAGGATGAGCCTGTCCTGGTAACAGAAGCCAACAGGGAATGATCTCCCAGCAGGAGCCTCTTTGGGGGCTCAGCAGAGCTGTGTTTTCATTTCCTTGTGGTTTCCTTCTGTGGTTCCACTCCTCTCCCAGGTTGTGACTGACCCTGGGAGCAGAAATACCCTCCCACCTCTGCCTTGGTCCCCTTACCCTTACTATACACCCAAGCTGGCAACAGCAAGAAAAAAGCTTGGAAATCCAAGCTGGTTTCCCTTCCCAAGAGCCCTCTTACTTCCCAAAGTCAATGGGATCAAGGTTTGGGGAAGCCTCCAAACCTGTGGGATGTTTATGCAAACTGAAGCTTTAGCAATTTGCCCCAATATTGGGCAGTTGTGCCACCCTGTCCCTGAATGAGTGACGCTTTGGGGCACTCTCTTGGTCCAGGGTCTACTTAAAAACAGCATCCAAGCCTCACTCAGGAGTTGCAGGGGGCACATCCCAGCTGGATTCCAACGGGGCGAGCGTCAGCCTTCAGTACAGCCATTCCAAACAGCACCCACGGCCGTCCCACGCGGCATCACATATTCCAGGGATGGAGATAACGCAGGCCTAGCTTAAGAAAACACTCAGCTACTAATTCTGAGCATGAATTCAGTCCTTAAGAAGGGAAAATGCTTAAGATCACGCAAGTGCTTATGCCCTGGCAGAACAATAACCAAATCCTACGTGCACAGTCACTGAGGCAGCAAAACCCGGCTCTCGGCTTGAAAACGTGGGCAAAGTGGGCCCAGTTCTCCCTTTTATGGACATTTTTTTACCATGATCCACAGTAAAGAGAAGGGAAACGTTTCAAAGTGGAGTTTGCAGAGACTGGGCAGTGGCCAAAGAATCAACACAAGTGGGAATTTTGGCTCTTTGTCTTAGGGAGAAGATAGAAGAACAAAGCTGGAATTAGCACTGGACACCTTGGAATGTCTGTGCGGTGACTCCAGGGAGGGTTTGGCCAGATCACATTCCATGTGCACAAGAAGGAAGAACCTCAGGGTGTTGAGGGGCTGAAGACCTTCCAAGCAAAAGCCCTGAACCTGCACATTTTCCATGCTCCCTTTCTGAAAAGCTCCTCATTTCATCACCAGGTCTGACCTTCAATTTGGGAACAAGCATTGCTGTGGTGAGCTCCAGACTGAGCAGAGAGAGAGAGGAGGCTGCAGTTAATCCCACCAACCAAGGTCATCAGGCAGTGCTCCTGGAGCTGTTGGTGGCTGGAAGAGATCCCTGGAGCCATAGAAAATGGAGATGTGCAAAGAGACCAGGGCATTTCAAGATCCCAGTTGATGGTTCCTGTCTTCTCCCACCACTTCTACCCGTGTCTTTGGTGCTGGAGGGACACACAACTCATCAGCCTGAAAAACACGGGGGGGCAGCTCAGGCTAAGCACCTCTCCCAGGACCAGCCATAAAAGGGGGATTAGGTCAGGTCTGACCCCTGATGGGCGTGGAGAGGAGTCTCAGAGGGACTGAGCTTCCAGCTCTGCTGTTGAGGATGTGCACACCACAATTCCCTGCTACATTAACACTCAGGAGCAACCAACACCGGCATCACCCTGTGGGTCACCTCTCCAGAGCTGCTTCCCAATCCATGGGCAGGAGAAGCAGGGGCTTGTGTGGCCTCCCCACACACCTGGGCCCAGCCAGCAGCAGTCAGCCAAGTCCTCCAGCATGTCAGGTTTGCCCCATCATCGTTTTTCCTCGATCTTTTTTGCACTGGTACCAGGAGTGAGTGTCTTGATGGATCCAGTGAAACCTGGAGGTACACAGGGGTGCAGGACTGCCCAAGGGCTCAATGGCCTCATAGTGCATCCATCAGGGACTGCTTGGGCTGGGGCAGGAGCAGCAAGGAGAGGTTTTACACCTTGGAGGAGGAAAGGCCCACTCCTTTCACGTTCTTCTTCACTGCATCACTTCAACCAAGAGTTTCGATCCAGATCTGAGGGACCTCATTTTGTGGACATTGCCTGGATGACAGAGCCTTGCTGACACCCATTAAGACACTCGGCTGTCCAGCAGAAACCACCCCCCTGTGCTCTGGTGACTTAAAATACAGATGGTTTTGGCAAGTTCCCCGGCCAAAGTGCCCCAAAGGATTCCTGGGCTTCGAGATTCCTCCCCACAACTGGATGCACTGCTCCCCATCACGTCCTCTCCCCTGTGCCAGCCCTTTGCTCAGCAGAGATGGAGCAAAATGATGATGGGACACCTGGATTCCTGTTGTTTGTGCCCAGGTGGGAGCTCACCTGGCTCCTCCCAGGTCTTAACACTTTCTCACACTGACTGGATGAAGTCTCCCATTCCAAACTAGGTCTGTGTTGAGGATCTCAGCCTTGGGGTAAAATAGCCAAGGGGTCCCAGACTGGCTTTTTGGTGACACATCCTGGGAATGCCCAAGGAGGCTGGCATCGTCTCTTGGAGGCTCAGGCAGGGCTGATAAAAGGTTTCTGTCCCATGAAACTCCACACAGAGTTTGAGCCTGACCACAACCCAGCTGTCTCCTCCACCTTGGAGCTAATGGAATTCAGCTCCAAGTGACACCCTGGCTCATGTGTAATTCTCCAAGTCCTGCCCCCAAAACCATCTCTAACTTGCCACTGGCCACCACCACAAGCTGTGGCCACGAGGGTCTCAGGTCACTTGCCCCACACAAGGGGTCCACAGACATTAGAGATGCTCTGGGACACCTGACACACGGGGCTGGGCAATATGATCCAAGATTGGGATGGGCTGCCCAGGGAGGTGGTGGAGTCACTTCCCTGGAGGTGTTTAAGAAGAGACTGGATGTGGCAGCAGTGCCATGGTCTGGGTAACAAGGTGGTGTTGGGTCACAGGTTGGACTTGCTGATCTCAGAGGTCTTTTCCAACTCAGCTGATTCTGTGATCTTTGGGAGAGCCAGGCCAGTGGTGGGCAGTCCTGGAGCAGCTCTGGTGTCACACCACTCACACACACACAGCCGAGTCACTCTCCAGGCACATCCACAGTGCAGAGGACACTGCTCAGCTCCAGAGACTTCCATCCATCAGGATGGGGGCTAAGCAGGCTGTCCTGGTGCCAGGGAAGGTCTCACCCCTCACTGCTTTGCTCCACCACCATTCCCAGGCTGGTTGCTGTTGCTGTCAGACACCGACCCAGGCTGTGCTAATTCCAGCACTCCTGTCTCACCCCAAGGGTGAAACCACAGCCATGGCACGTTGTTGTGCCTCACACAGTCCCACTGAGCTTCTGCCACTGTCTCACAGCACCATTCCTGCTGTCGCTGGCGCCGTGCCAGGGGGAGATCCCTCTCCTCCGGGTTTCCACACTCCAGAGGGGAATCTGATTGCTGCTCTTAATGCTGCCACGTTATACAGAGGGATGTAAACCACAGCCCAGCTCTATGTTCAGTGATTCAATGGAGACCAGGCAGCTCTGTGGCTTCTCTCTGGGTGAGCAGGACCAGCAGCACTGATGCTGTGCTCACATGGAGGGTACTCAGCACCCCCAGAGCTGTGGCAGTGGGAATCAGGGGCTCAGCACCTCCCAGGAAAGCAATCCCCTCAGGACTGACTCCAACAGCCTGGTGCCACTCTGTCCTGCTTTGTTGCTGTCACCCCATGCCAGGATTTGCTCTTGTCCCCTGGTAAAGGCTGAAGTCCCCCCTGCCCATGTTGTGTCACACAGAGAGTGGCTCCCAGTGGTGTCCCCCTGGAGCTCTGCCCATGGAAAAGACCATCCTGCCCCACTCCTGCCCCTTCCAGTGGCACTTTATAGCTTGCTCACGAGCAACATGACCAAAGATCTCTGGAGGGCGTTGGACTGCACGCTTGGAGCTCTGTCCTGGCTTTCCTGGGGAGAGATGAGGCTGCTGTGAGCTGGAAGAGGGGAATGAGAGCTGGCAGGGGACAGGAGAGGGGGTGGATTTCCCGGTGTCCCACCTGGGAATGTTTGCAGGTCCATGAGGGGCCTTTCCTGTGCTAGACAGGACAGGATAGAAAGGAGTTCCTGGGTGAGCTGATTGTTCATCACACCAGTATCCTCCACAGCCACACCACGTAGCTCCATGCATTGCCCAGGGAGAATGTGAACCAGGGACTGTTCCCTGGAGGAGGGTGGATGCAATTCCCTTTTTTTCCCTTGGGAAATGGCATGCCCAGCCATTCCTCTTGTCCTCAGAGTGACAGGTCTCCTCTAATTTAGCAGCAGACATTGCTACAGGGTCCAGTCAAGGACTCATTCTGGATCAGAGGGAATTGTCCAGGAAAACATGTATCCTCAGAGCTGGTCGTCCTGCTGGCTGCTCCCTTGGTGTCCTCTTCCCAGCTCACCCCAGGGCCTCCTCAGCACCTTCCTTACCAGGGAACCAAATTCTGAGGTGAATGCACTTTGCTCTTTGCTTCTGCTTGGAGTGCTGAAGGCAGCTCTGCCCAGCTTGGCTCCACGAAGCTCCTGGACCTGGTCCCAGCCTTGGCAAGCAGGGCACAGGCCAGGGGGAGATCAGGGCTCCTGTGAATGGTGTTCAGGTGGGTCTGGGCATAGGGCAGATGCCTTTTCACCGTGCCTCTGCTCCCCAGCTGTGCTCAGCCTTCTCCACTCAATTCCTGGGATGGGAGAGGGTCCAATCGCCATTAATTTAACCCAACCCTTCATCCTAAGCCTTGAAAGCCCTTGATAGAGTTACTGTCCATCAAAACCCCTCGCTAAAGATCTGCTCATGTACTGCCTGTGCCCTGCTGCTCCTCTGCCCCAGCTCTCCAGACTCTCCTGCCTCCTTTTTGATCCTCCCCAGCCCACTGGAGCAACCAGTGACTCTCCCAGAACTTTTCCAGGTACATTTGAACGTGGAGCTGGAGCCCACAGCCCCCACTGGGAGTGGCACATCCCAACCCTGCCCTCAGAGGAGCTTTCCAGACTGCTGGTCCTCACCTCTCCTCTCCATCATTCCCGTGGCAGCTCCATCAGTCCTGCTTTACCTCCAAGAGCAACTTGGCTTCCCGCTGAAGGACATTCCCGTGAGATCCTTGCACGGGGCTTCACACCATCACAACACCCCACCCACCAGCTCTGGGGCTCCCTGCTCCTTCCACCCTCTGGAAAAACAGGGGTGTGAGGGGTCTATGAGGTCTGTAGGGGCACACAGGCCCCCTCCCAGTCTATTGAGGGGTTGGGATCTCATCCAGCTGTTTGCAGATGTTGGTTTCCCAATAGGATGTTTCACCAGAAACAATTTTCAGGATAATCCTCCTCCCTGGTTCTCCCCCTGAAGGGGATCGTGTCAGGTCTGGAGCCTGGGACAAGATTGTGTTCTCACAGCTCTTTCACAGATCTGTTTTCTCCGGCAGAAAGTCTCTGCTTTCTGTCCCAAAGCAATAGGTTTTTCTAGGGAGATTTCAAAGGGACTCTTCCCAACTCTGATACCTGCAGGGAAGCCAGTATTCCCTTGAATACCTTCAAAGCTCCAGCCCTGGGCTCTCCTCCTTCGGAAAGGGAAGCGAGGTCCAGTCTGGCTCCAAACAACCACCAATCTGAGCTTGGTGGTCCCATTCACCTGGAGAGCCCAGAGCTGCCCTTATCCAGCAGGCCACCAGCCTGGGCCCCCAGGAGGTGTGATCCATCTCCTCCTGGTCCCATCCCATGGCTGTTAGTGGGTCCCCAGGAGGTGTGATCCATCCCCTCCTGGTCCCATCCCATGGCTGTCCCTGCAGGTTTTCTCCACGTGGGAGCCACTGGGGTGTCTGAGCTCACAGAGCCACAAGCAGACACCAGTGGGAGACTGTGGCTCTGCCATTCCCGAGAGCCAGGCTGCCCTCCTGGAGGAGAAGGTCCCTTTCTCTCCACAGGTGACTGAAAGGAGCAGAACACCCCCAGGCAGAGCTCCAGCACCGGTGCCGGGACGTGCCGGAGGGTCCCAGCACCGGTGCCACACAATGCTGCACACACACCGTGTCTATGCAGTCCCTTTCCAGACAGGGGGGTCCCTGCAGAGCCCACCCCGGGGCCAGGGCTCCTCCAAGGTGTCTTTGTTTGCACTCCCTGGGACCTGGAATCGCTGTGAGCCGAGGGCAGCCCCTCTCGGCCTTTGCCGCGCTTGGGAGGGTCCCTCGTCCTAAACACGTCGCCCGAGTCACTCGTGTCCTGCGTCTGTCCTCCAGCAGACCCATACCTGTCCCCCCCAGTCCCCAAATCCCAGCTCCCAGG